GAGTCCTCGCAGGGGCTGTAGCAAAGTCGGGTAACGTGTGACAGCTACAGAGCGCGTGAAGCAACGGAAGGACAGCAGCAGCCGCCTAACGCAGTAGCGGCGGCAGTTTAGAAAATCCCGCCCTCCCATCCCTTTTCTTTCGAAGGTGGGGGCATAAGTTCGGGAATATTCGGTATCTAGTCAGGTGTTGTAGAATGGTGTGTACCATTTGAGGACTTGGTCAGTTTTGGGACTCCTGCGTTTGCAGTCGTAGTCCCCCGGCTAGTATTTGTGGGGAGAGAGATGGATTTGTAAGAGTTGACGCCGGCCTTTGCAGCTAACGCGGCCGGAGAGACGATGAGCGTTTCGTGCGTCTCTCTCCCCAACACGTAGCCTAGAAACCGAAGAAATAATGAAGCAATTCGAAAGAAAACAAAATAAATAGTCAAATTGCAAACTTGTGGGTTGTTTTCCCCTGCGCGAGCGTTGCAATGATACAATCAAGGTGATTGCAGTAGATTGCCTGTAACTGTAGATCGAAGTCAGCTGTGCACAAACATATGGCACTATTTCGTTCGGTACCTGTGTACCTGTCTTACCTTCTTCGCATAGCAGTTTGTAAAGCTTGCCGTTTCGAATCTTGAACTGCCTCCACACGATGTAGGAAATCCTTGACGTTGAGACGGGAAAACGGGGAGCGCGAGGCAAAACATTTCGCACAATTTGGGAGAGCCGCCGAGATTTATAGACCTTAGGGCCTTCGAGTAGGCAACGCTATCGTGGGAGCGAAAGTCAGACGGACGAAAAGACATGAACACATGCCAAAACAACAGCGTCATAATATTGTTGCGCAGTTTGACACTATGAAGCCAACACGACGTACGGTCATCCACCTAGCACTCCGGACATGGTTCCCTCTGGTATTGGTCAACTTCTCCTGCAGCTTCTTGAAATCCATGTCTTGCGCCTTGTGATGCATGTCGTTGTCTCAATCAATATGTCGAATATTAGTTCCATCATTTAGCTACAGTTTTCCCTTTACGCAATACTTTACCTCACCTTTCGGACGGCTTGCCCACGTCTTCGGCTTGCGATATTCGGTCTCACAGTTCGGGCATATCTTTCGTTTCTCTTCAACCTGAACAATAAGCACTCTCACCCAACGTGGTGATGAACGAAATCTATGCGCAAACTGCATTAATGCAAGTTGTCCCGTACATAAGGGCGACATCAAAGGTGTCCCATTCGCCAGCGTCCCCATCTGGGTTCATGGACTCGGGGGGAAAGGCACTTGATCTACGTCGCTCCAATACCAAGCACAAGGAACTAGGTGTCGACCGTGACTAATGCTGACACCAACCTCGTGATATAGCGTATGCTCTGTAGCTTCTTCTGTGTGGTGCGCTTTCCCATATCAAAACGACACTTCGTAACGAAGACTGCCTCATCGTAGGATTGCTCGGCCCCGCATCCAGGACAAACTCGTTTGTCCAGAACGGCCTTGTCTGCCAACTCGCCTCGATGGTGTTCCATCCCGGCGTTCCTGTTTATTTTTACAAGCGTCGTTTTAATAGGCATCAGCTGGCAAACTCTATTCGCGGACGACGGCAGGATTGCGGAGGGAGAGGTTTCAACTACAACGCCCCGATAACAGGTAGGTATCTATTGTGTGCGAGTACAACATTGTTCCGACGATTTCCACGTAGCATCGAAGGTATACATATCATCCGGCATAGCGAGCATACCACAAAACAAACTGCTACTGGTATTTGTGCAAGAGAGACGTTTTCTCTAATGTTACGATTTAGCCGCTGTTTCACATGCATAGTCTAGGCCTCATCAATACTAGGTGGGACTGAACATTTATTTACACCTGGCACCGGTCGCGTTTGACGATTCACGTACCCATATTTGTCACGCTTGTTATGTGTTGGCCTTGTGATAAAGGCTCGTCTGGTGAAGCGTCCAAACGTGATTGTCGTGATTGTTTGTCCGCTCCACCACTAAGGCACCGCCTCGTGGATCGTATGGAGCCGGGTGAATATTTGTTTTCGGTATTCTGCAGTGTCATAGCGACGTTCGGCCAGTTTTCCACTTCCACGAGACCGTACGCTTTTCTCAGCGTGGGTGCGTTGGTGTTCAGACCCCAGAACGTTACGAAACATCTAGCCGCTGGTACTGTTAGCATGATAGTATTGATTGCAAAACAAGGCGTTCCGAAACATCATTCCACCCCTCATTCCCCAATGATTGCCACAAAGGGCTTTCACTTGTTATCAAACCCCGGCCGGCATGTTTTCGACAAACAACCGTTTCAGCCCTTTGTAGGTTGCATTACACGACGGTGTCACGAGAGGTCGTACAACGGATAAACCTCGATCACATTCACATTTGGGAATCGTAGAAGAACGTTCGCAACGTGTTCACCCGGCGGACCGCGAATGATGTTGTGCAGTGCGCTCAGGCCGCCCGGGTACGGAGGCAGTGGGCTGTTCGGCTCTGAGACACTATGGAGGCTGGGATACCGACACGACGCCCAATCACTGGCAGTACGGCTGAGTGCGTTAAGGAGCCACCGTGGGAGGCAGTCAGGCAGGAAGCTGCGAAAACGGCCATGGAGGCCGCCCGGCTTGTGAAGGCAGCCCAAACGTCGGCCTTTGAACTCAAAGCAATCGAGGAGGTGGAGGCCGCAGAAGCTCTAGACTCCGAAGAAGACGAAGGGGAGGATCACATCGACGGCGATGACGGTGCCTACGGGTGAGTTTGGAGTTCCTCCCCCGCCCAGCCGAAGCGTCGTCAGTTGAGACCCCACGTTCCTTCGAAAGATCGAAGAACAATCACACACCCCTTCCCCCGAGGGTCTCTAGTTGGATATGGTGGCCTGCGTTGATCGAACCCCATGTGCTGGCCCCCGACAGCTCGACATAGTATACCAGCAGGACGTTTGGCGACCGGATCAAGAAAGCAACCAAGAAGGTCAAGTCCGGCGTCCAGAACGCGGCGAAAAAGACAAAGCAGGCGGCTCAGACCGCCGCCCGAAAGGCCGAGGAGGCAGCTAAACAGGCTAGATCATTTGTCCATAAGTTGTTTCTACGCTGCAGATGTTGTTTGTGGCTGATGTTTTCAACGACGAAAGTCGTTCCATTCTCTTCTCAGTCTACCGGTCCAACTGGCGCGGACGCCCTCCTTGGTCACCATCCGATTTCCCGACAATAGTGCAGGTAAGTAGTATCACCGCGAACGCGAAAACAGGCACAAACCAAACCGAAAAGATATAAACGCCCCAGCTAGCCAGCACTCAGACGTCGCTGGGTGACATATCGAGCAAAGGAGATTCATGACAATATTTTCGATTGGATGAGAGGACAATTGGAGTACCGATACTGATCGTTGTGCAACGGGCGTTAATTGACACCCCGCGAAGCGGGAGGCAGAGACTATTGCCAAGGATGCAGCGCGCATAGCAGAAGCGGCGGCCCTCAAGGCCAAGAGGGAAGCGGAGAAGTCTGCCAAGGCCGTGGCTCAAGCCGCCATAGAAATAAAGAAGGCGCGGGAGCTTGTGGCGAAAGAGGCGAGTGAGACAACCGGCATGCTGCATGTATGTACAGTATGGAATATATGTACAGTACGGCTTCACGTACTACGTGCACTTGAGGGAGCTATAAAACAGTTGGCTACGCACATATGACACAGCATCTCCCGAAAAACTGGTGAACGGAACCGCTTTATTCAAAGTATTGAAGTTTCCGGAGGAAAGGTCGGGCACATCAGTTCATTCCACGGAGAGATGCACCCCCCGTCCTCCCCACCTCGCCGTGTTGTATGTCATGATAAGCGCGGAGAGAGTCTTTCCGCCCCGAACGAAAAGAGACAGACGTTCCTGTTCATGGGGATCTGCTGGTACGCATTTGTCCCCCGACAGGTGGCAGCCAAGGCGCAGATAGCAGCAGCTGGGGCGAACTAGGCCGCAGAAGGTGCGGCGAAGCTGGCAGAGAACGCTGTCAACGAGGTGGGGTGACATAAAGGACGGCGTCGAGGATGCAGCGGACAAAGTGAAGGACGGGGTCGTGCACGCTGCCGACAAAGAGCCAAACGCTGTGCTTTCTTATGCCTGTTTACCTTTCTTGTACCCCATCGGGCTACGAAGGCCTAGACCAAGGAGTAGATAACGTTGTTGTTGTTGTTGTTGTTGTTGTCTTCACATTAAAAACCGTTCCGTTCTCTCTGCTCAGTACATTCTTCTGTCCGTACTAGTCTAACACTTGACGGGGTCGATTCCCGTGGTCACAGGCTAACTTACCCAAAAAAAGGTATTCGAAAATAAAATGGACCCGAAGGGTCCGCAAGCCAATAAAAGACAACGACAGATAATCTAGGCTACCCCGCTCGCCTCTCTGCACGCTATGCGAGGTAACCCTATAGATTGGAAAAATATAGAAAGAGAAAAAAGAAGGAAAGAAAGAAAAGAAAAAGAAAAAGAAAGGAATAGAGCAGATGGAGAGAAGCAAAGGGAAAGAGAAAGACACAGGAAGAGAAAGACACACGCCTTCGCGACAAACAACAAACAAACAAACAGAACAACCCAAAACAACACAAGACAAAGCGGGCCACTCGAGTCAGCCCATGCACGTCATCGCTCGCGGGGGGTTGGTGCAATGGTGCAGTGCAGTGCTGGGGGGGGGGGGGGGAGATAAGTCAAGCAAGAGGTTCATTTCGGTACGGTGTTTCGCGCCACTCGGTCCGCCTCTTCGCGTTTCCTGCCTTTCCTCGCCGTCTCGTCCGCCTGCTGTACCCCTCCCACCCCGGTGGTTGTTGCCGTGTCCGTGTTTTTGTCGGGCTTCTTGTTTTGTTTGAGCGCTCGTTGTCGGCTAGCCTCCTCTTCCTTCTTGTGCCAGGAGGCCATGAACCTCTTAGCTCCCTGCAGTACCCCTGTATGCCACGGTACCCCCCGCTCCACCTTCGCTGCTTCCATCCAAGTTGTTTCCGGGACTCCGAAGAAGCATGGCTCGGCGTCCGTAGATCCGTGCTCTGCTTCGAACATCTTGAGGTCGTCCTTCAGGCACATTTGGCTCCGGTTTCCCCCTGCCTGGGCCCTCCCCCCCCACCAGTTCGCCAAGCATCACCCGTTTCGGGAGTCGTCCGTCTGGCTGCCTTACCAGCGCTCCCTCGAACAGCAGGCGCCGCTGCCGGATAGTGGTTTCCACGCTCTGGCACCCCACAGGGTCTGGGCGTAGGAAAGCTGCCGGTAGGTGCCCTTCTTGCGTTGTTAACCGATAACTCGCAGGAATAGTTGGTGGTGTATCGTCCGCAACGTCCGGTATTGGTCTTGACGTGGGACCAGTACAGCAGTGCCTCCATCGCCTCGGCCTGGAGCAGACGAGTCTTCAGTCGGAACGGTGCTTTCGGCCTGTCGAAGAGCTCCTGGCCATATCTCCTGACGCATGCCCACGCCGTTCTGCTCCGGTAATTGATCTCACGGGTGACGTCGCCATGTTTGTTGACGAGGCCACCGTGTACCAGAATTCAGGCGTCTGGGCATACCTCTGCCCTGCTGCCTCGATGATCAGCGGTGGTGGCGGGGGGGTCGGTGGTGTTGTTGTGTGCTTCTCCTTTGCGCGCATCAGGATCGTCTCCATCTTCTTCTCCGATACCGTCAGCCCGAACTCCCCGAACGCCTCCACGATGACGGTCATCATCTTCGCCAGTCCTTCGGCAGACCTCGATACGACGCCGGCGTCATCGGCATACAGCATCCCCCATACCGCCCTCCGCACTCGGTCAAGTGGAGTCCTCGCCCCCGCTCGCGTCTCCTCCTCCAGGTACACGAGGTTCTTCAGAATAACATCATCCTCGCTGAATCGAATGGCAACGACCTCGATGACCGCGGCGAAGAAGATATTGAACAGCAGTGGGGATAGCACACACCCTTGTCGTAGGCCTTGTGTGACCAAGAACCAGGCCGAAAACTCTCCGTCGTCCATGCACACCCGCGCCCGCATTCCGTCGTGGAATTGGCGGATGACGGCGACCATCTCATCAGGAATCCCGGCCCTGGCCAGGACCTTCCACAGCAGCTCTCGGTCCACCTAATCATACACCTTTTTCAGGTCGACGAAGCACATGTAGAGTGGTTTTTTCCTTCTCCGCCCCAACTCCTGGAGTCCGCGCACGACGAACAGCATGTCGATGGTGGATCGCCCGGGTCGGAACCCGTGTTGTTCCTCCGGGAGGATGTTGTTGGTTTCGCGGAAGGTGCTTAGGCGGTTGGTGATGATCTTGATGGGGACCTTGCCTACGTGAGATAGGAGCGAGATCCCCCTGAAGTTGTTGCAGTTGGACCGGTCACCCTTCTTGTACAACACCTTGATGGTTGTGTCCTTCCACTCTTGGGGGATCTCTCCTCCGTTCCACACCTCAACGAGGATGTCACGGAGGTGCTCCAGGACGATAGGTTTCTCGTCGTCGACGTCGATCTTGAGCAGTTCTGCCGGAAGGGAGTCATTGCCGGGTGCCTTCCAGTTCTGCAGTCCTTACGTTGCGCGTTCCACTTCCTCGAGGTCTGGCACCGCTCTCAAGCGTCGAGTGGCACGTGTCGCCGGTCGCTGCGTCACTTGTTCGATGATGTTGGGGTTCAGGGTGGGGGACTTGGTGTTGAGGAGGGTGCCGAAGAACCTCGCCCATCGCTCGAGGATCTCGCTCTTTCTCCGGAGCAGCACGCCATTCTCGTCCGCAACGGGCTGCTGTCCTCCCGCTTGTCTCCCACTGAGCCCCACTGATCGCTTGAGGTGTTGGAAGAGGCCTCGCATATCGCGGTCCTTGTAGATCGCTTCGAGTCCCGTCACATATCTGTCCAGGTGGGCATATATGCCCGTTTCGACTGCTGCGGCCACTCCCTTACACGCTGCTTTGAGGGCCCTCCACGATGTTGTGTTCAACTTGTACTTCATCGCTCGGCGCGCTTCCCGCCGTTTGGTGAGGGCCTCCTCCAATGCTGCTCTTGTCTCAGGGGTCTCACACTATTCCTGCGTGCGTCGTCTCCGCGGTTCCTCGGGTAGTGTTGCCCTCGCCGCTTCAAGGAGAGCATGGGTGAAGTCGGTCGCCTTCTCCGGGGTAGTGGTCGCTCGTTCGTCCTGCTGTTGGTCGAGGTTGAGGAGGAACCGCGTAGTCACCTCCCATCGCGTTGCTTCGACCTGCAGTTCCCGTCG